TGATCCTAATATTATTCGTAAGCCTTGGTCTTATGAAGAAGATCAAATATTGTTGAAGTATAGAAATGTGTATGGAAATAAATGGACTGAAATAAGAAAGTATCTTCCTGGAAGAACAGCTAATCAAATCAAAAATCGATTCTTCTCTCATTTTGCTGATTTGGTAGAGAATCAACCAACACAACAAATTCAAATTCACTCTGTTTTTATTCCTGTTAATTCAGGATTTACTGTTATTGTAAATTCACCTATATTTTATTAATCAAATAAATGTTATTTCATTTAATTAAATAGTATTTTTACTATGATTATTGTTATCTTTTTTTATCTAAACTTGTTTCAAAACAATTTCTTTTATTTATTCGAATTAAAATAATGAATTATTTTAACTGAATTATTTTATTACTTTCATTCTTATTTGTTTATCATTATTGTTCATAAAGTTGGATGAAAGAAATTACATGAAAACTTTCTTTTAAAAATCTTTTTTTTTTGAAAATAAATTCTATAAAAATGTTTGTTTTCTTTTATTCCTAATAGTCACTAAATATTTTTTATTTATAACTTCAACAATTCGAACATCATCAGAAAAGATTATCATAAACCATTATGTAAGAAAACACCTTGATATTACCCTTTCAAATAATAGAAAAGGTGTCCAAAAGCAGTTGTACAATGAGAAATCATTTGTTTACTAATAAGAGTAGTTGAATTTTTTTGCAGATAGTAACAACAAAGGCCTATCTCTTTTACAAACTTTTCTGTATTATGGCCAATAACAAACAATATTTAGGAAGTCTTTCTATCAAAAAGTTTTTATTGAGAACTTTTATAGATTTTATCATCCCTTGTTATAAATTGTGAATACAAGTTTGTTTTTGCCAAAGATAATTGAGGTAATTGAGTCACTTAGAAACAAAATTTAAATATTAACAGACAGTATTAACATTCGTTAATTATTTATGATTTTCAATTATTAGTGGGTTATTATTGAATGATATTTTCACTATTTGTGTAGTAAAACAATCAATACCTTTTCTTTTTCTTGAAATTAGTGAAATGCTTAGATGAAACTGTTTTAATAAAAAATTAGTTTAAGCAAAGAAAGACCAAATCCTAATTACAGATAATTAAGATATGAAATAACTCATGTCCCATTCTTTTATTATGTCAGTTCAGCCATATATTTTTTGTAAGCTATTTTTATATTGAGATTAGAAGAAGTTAACTCTTCACCAGGCCTATAGACTTTAGAATACACAAATTTAGCTTAGAGTCATTATCATTAAACTCTTTCTCTAAGATTATTTATGAAGTAAGAGATAGAAATTGTTAGTCAATAAATTATTAACATAATCTGATTGTAGATAAGAATTTATTCAATGAAATAAGTTTCAAGCATATCCGTTGGTATTAATTGATCTAAAATATTAGTAAATGTAATGAATAAAATGGAGTTATAGAAATGCTATGTAAATGATCTACAGAGAGCTGAATAAATCAATTATAAAAAAAAATTTTTAAGAAGGTTCTTAGTATTATTAGAAATAGAAAATTGCTTAATTTTCTATCAACATTTTAATACAACTCATTACACAAAGATCTTTAACAATTTAAAAAAATATTCTTACAAAATACAGAACCTGTTATAGTTCATTTTTTTAATAAACAAATATAGATTTTTTATTCAAAATAAAAAAGGATATAAATGACTGATAGTTAAAAGTAACAAGTGATAATATTACTCATTCATAGAATTCACAGAAAATTATTATTTTAATACTTAATCATTTGGATATATCTTACTTTCAATTATTGATGATATGATATTATTTTTAATCACTGTTATGAAAATAAAATATTCTTTTTAGATATTATAAATATTTTGTTGCAGATTTGAATAAAATAATTATTATACCATAAATTATTCAAACACAAATGGACCACAGACTCTTTTCTGTTATATAAACCTTTCAGGAATACCAATAAAGGAAGCAATAATAGAGAAATAAATAATATTGTATCATATTTAACTTTATCTCTTTTAATAAAAATAGACTTAATTCCAATTGCAGATAAGTAAAGAAACAAAAATTTAATTAATATTTTTCAATGAAATTATTCCTTGTAATCATAAAATGAATGATTTCGTCATTCATTTTAACATTGTCAATAAGAAGTATGTTTACAAATGTTGATGATGTCTGAAGCCATTTAAGTACTAATGGATTTGTTTTTTCAGCAATTTTAATAGTTGAGTTTGGATACTTCTTTGTATAATAACTCTTTCTGATACTTTTTATAGATGGAGTAACAACCGCTTGAATTATTGTTAGTTTTGGGTTATTTTGATAAAGCTTAGAGTTATAATCAAGTTTGTTTAACATTCTTTGTGTTTCATTCTTGTTTGGCCAAATTGAATCAATCTGATCTTGTGGAAAGAGATAAAGAGGAAGTTTTTGTCTAAAAGGATTTAAGCAGAACACAAACAAACGTTGTTTGATATGAACGAGTTGTGACAAAGGGATAATGAATTTGTTATAGTCATTAAGTACAAGATGTTTAGAACAACATTTTTCTATCAATAGACAAAGGGACTGAAAATTATTCAAAGACTTAATTTGATATAAATGATTAATGTCTATGATAATAACTTCACCATCATGTTCTGTGAGAAAAAAAGTAATATCCTGAAGGGCTGTTTCAAGTAATTGACAATATAAACCATGGAGTAAATAAAAGTTCTTCAGTTTGTGATTATAAACAACTCTGAAATCAAAGTATCTAATTCCAGCAATGCACTGATCTTTAATTCCAAGTTGTTGAGTTTTTGACCATCGTTTCATGAATGAACGATGTTTCTTGGGAAATATTGTAAAAGGAGTAATTCCATATTGTGGTAAAATAGTAGATGTTCCACTATCATGGCTTCCAACCATTCCAATCTTAGTAATTGGTTTTAACTGGATTGTAGAATTGCATTTCATCCAATCAGAAGTATTCATTACTTATATCGTAGAATTCAATATTCATTCTTTTCTAATCATCCACTTATATGACCATAAAACAACTTGCTTTTCATTTAATAAAAATATAAAAGTTTAATTAGAAGAAAAGAAGACTTAAATTAATCAACTACTTCAACAACTATAAAAATTAATACATCTTTTATTTCAAAATAATAAAACAAACCTTCATCATCTAATACTGGAAGATTTTCTATTTCATTTTGTGAAGTATTATAATTTGATGGCATTTTAACTAGTTCAGGTTTAGTTCTAACTTCAACCACTTGATCTGATGTTTGAAGAATATTTTCAACCATTTTTGAAATACTGTTTTGGATAGAAGGAGAATTAATTAATTGAGAGAATAATGGTCTTAAGTCCCATTCTTCATTCACTGAACTAGTAGCTGTTTGATAACTGTCTAATTATGAATAAATGAATGGATACAAATTAATTATTGAATATTTTAATAAATTAAAAATAAAAACAAACCAACAAGTTTTAATCTTAAAGTAATATTCTTCATTTGTTTCATTGCTAAAAGAATATCAGTATCATCAATTAATGTTACC